TTCGTGTGTTCGATCCTAGCTTCGTGCAAGGATTGATTTTGTGTTTTGATAGTTTAAGTTTCAGAATGATATAATGGGAATTTATATTCTCGATTTCGTTCTGGTTCAAGATTAAAGCTTAAACCAAGCCTTTTCAAGTTCTCTAAAAGAGCGTAGCATTATCGAAATAATAGCGAGAAGATCTAAAATGGGCAAAGCTGTAATGCACTTTTTAGAGTATTCGAGTTTTCTCTTAAAGCAGTAGAGCAGGTATCAAGATACACTTTGTAGTAAAATGCTTAATATGCTTTTTATAGACAAAGATGTCGTTTACAAAAAAGGTTGATTCGTGATATCACAAAGCTTTTGGTTTTTTTAAAATAAATTCACTCTTAGAACTTTTTGTATGCCCTACGTATTCTGAGTTCTACGAAAAACGAAAACTATTACCAGCTCCAATTGTATAAACTTTTCCAAAATCACCACAAATTGCCATTTGTTTATATAATTGAGGTGATTGAGCGAGATAAGCATTTGTTTTGAAATATGATATTTGAAATACATTTGCACCACTCTCAGAAGCAGCTGAAAAGTAAAAAATATTGAAACTTAAAATTAAGAAAGAGATCATATATTGACATACCAGAAATAATTTTTGGTGTATGAATTTCTACAAAGTCTTTTGCATCAAGTATATCACGAAATAGTTTGCATATGCTAGCTTCAATTCGATAAATTGCTTGACTCGATGGTGTTCGCAAATCAATCACACGATTATCTAATCGTGTCTCTTGAGTCATATGAGGCATCGATTCTTTCTGAACAAATTAATAAACTTATCAATGAGACATATTAAAACACAAGAACATACACTATCTTCAGGTCTCATAGCATCTTCATAGAATGGTAAACGTTTTTCAGCTGTACTAACAACGAATAGCTAAAACGAAAAACATTTCAAATTAGAGCTGATACCAACACAGATCAAATACTGAAATACATGCTTTTTTCAATTGTAATTCAACAGTTTTCTGTGAACAGGAGTTGATTGGTGATGGTGCTAATGAAACTTCTCCTTCAACATCAATGATACTTTCTTTGGGAATACTGAGGAAACACAAACCGAAGTTAAAAGTATTGTAAATGTCGTAATCTTATGTTTCTACCTTGAAACAAATTTCACCATTTGTTTACTAACATTTTCATTAACAGCAAGTATGGCTTGTATTGTTGAAAATTGATGCCGAATAACCAAAAAACATTGTTTACCTAGACAAAGACTGGTTTGCAATCCAATAGTTGATTGAGCAACACTAATCTACCTTTTCCTCGACTTGTATGTAATCTTCCACGTACCCAAATTATTTGTTTAACTAATGTGTCTGTTATATCACCAACTGGTACTAAATGGCGATCATTTTTTTCTTTCGACTGAACTAGTGGTAATGTTCCATAATTGTTTACAGAACAATCCTCCTCAATGCCTAAATTTTAAACCGAAAAAAGAATATAAGCAACCGTTTTGAGAAAAAATGAAAAGACAGAGCTCTTTTAAATCACCTGCTGCTGTTGCCATCTAAACCGTATTTTAATTAATCTAAAACAGGGAAAATATATTAAAAATCCATATAAAATTTCGTTAAATAGGATAAAATTGATGAAATAATAATAAATATTTTCATGTAACCGTTACATCATCTTCATGATGCAACATAGCGACAACATACGAAAAAAGTCTGAAGACTCTTAAAAACCCTGGTATAAAAATTAGCCACTTATTATGTCGATCCATAATTATAGAATTATGTATTGAATTGTGCTGAAGAGAAAGGGTTGTTTCCCACTAGCCATCAACTTTTCCCATCAATAATGGCCGCTATTACAAACACATAAAAAAAGGTTCAAGATAATCTTTCAATTTTTTTTTGCAATTCAATGCGTCATTTTTCTTTCTGTTTCTAGTGTTCTTTTGCCTGTGAGAATAAAGAGACTTCTTCTTGCACATATGATGGACTATTAGCTTATGTACTATCTAAAGCATAAAGAGAAGAATTTCTTAAATTGCGCAATTTAATGCGTCATATTTATTTCTGTTCTTCTTCGATTTTTGTTGATATGTACAGTTTTTCGTTTTCTTTTTGTCATTCACTCCTGATGATGACCATTGAATAAAAATCGAAAGCTCGAGTAGTGTTTTAAGTGAACACTTAAACATGTGTTTTGTCGCAGAGCTATATTTCTTACTTGAATCTCTTTTGTTCACTGGAACACCTCCAAATCTTTCGATAATTTGTTTCAGCAAATTTATTGAAAGATTAACCCACAAAAAATGCAGGAGGAATATTTTTCTTTTTTGATAGAAAGCAAGGGAGCATCTTGTCAACTCGAGTTGGCGAAGGAGGAGGATTTTTGGTTTTGAAAAAGAGAGCTGAAAAAACTAGTATGACCAAAAGTTTGTTCTATTTCCCTTTATCACTGTCCGTCCTTTCACGGCCTCTGTTACATTTTTCATAATTAAAATCACTATAGATTTTTTCGTTGCTCGAGTAGACCCTCTTGAAAAGCGGAAATTCCTTTCTCTATTCTTCTTTGTTTTATTTGTCTTATTAACATAAACAGATGATTAAATAAAAACATGGAGGCACAAACGCATATTTTTTGAAATGGTGAAATTTTCATGAAAGAGCAATTTAATGTAGGCTTATCTTGGACTGAAAAAAGAAAGAAAAGAAATTTGACACATCGATTTTTCGAAGCCGATTGGTAAAAATATTGTTGAATGAAAATGAAGAAGAGGTATTTACGAGAAAGTGACCAGATCACTTTTTGAAAGATTCAGATTTTCATCTAGATCATAATGTGAACTAAACAAAACAAGCTCTTATAAAACAATAAATCAAGTTTTTATTTTTTTCCTTTGTGAACATTATGTAAAAAGGAAAGAGAACAAATCTTTTTTTCTTGCTTTTACAGTGAGTGACTATATGATATCATATACTTGTGTTGTTTTGATAGAAGATTTTTTCAATTTTTCGAATATCGAGATATCGGAACAAAGTCACTATCAAAATATATGTTCAAAAATTTCTGTATGTACTCAGAATGTTGAGCTCTATCGAATCTCAGCATTTTCGGAGGCAGAAACATATTCTCCAAGAAATACACCAGTTCCAATAGAATTTTGTGAAAAATTAAAACTCATTTTCTAATTAAATGTAAAGGTATTAAGCTCTCGATTAAAGTACATTTGACACAGTACATGAAACGGCACATGAAACAAGGAATTCTGACTTTTTGAAACTCTTCACATTTTTTGTATTGTTTTTAAGAATTTCAACACGAACATACTTTTGCAGCTAGTCCGAGTGAAAATGAATATTTCTAACCATTTTGTCGAGCTGAAATGGATGAATGTATCAGTGAGAGATATTCCGGAAGTTTGAGCAAAATATGTTTTAGAAAAAGCACGGCTATAATTCATCATTCAGCAGCTGCGGCCATTGATATCGGGTAGTTCGTGATCAAAGGGCCGTATTTTACTGGTAGACTCCTGAATATTTAAAAAACGTTATAGATCGGGGCAGTAATCTTAAAGCAGCGCTACATGACAATCAAATAACACATTGCTATGGGCATAGATTAAATAATATATTGAAAGATACGTTCAAAGGTATGATTTTGACCACTGGTCATAGTTAGCAAACTTTATATAAAAATATATTGTTGTCTTTTCGTGGATGGTTTCCACTTCAAAATGAGAATTGATCGAGACATTGATATTCAACAGTTTAGGCGTGGCATCGGATTTCACAAGAGACTAGGACCCGATATCGAGTACCTCGTTAGAACCATAA